AGGGGAAAGGAAAGAAGGGAATGGAATTAATATGAGAAAATGAAAAAATGGAAACAAAGACTTTGTAAATAGGGAAGGATAGAGGGGTTGAAGGGAGAGCAGGTAAAGGGCAAAAAATAAGAACCGAGAGAGTATGTAAAGGTGCAAATTTCCCGTGAGGAATGTCATTATATTGTAGACTGAAAATGTACCAATAAAATAAAATTTTTTAAAAAAAGAAACTTACAGCCTTTAGGGCAATGAGGTGTTTTAACTATTGCTACAAAACAAATATCTCTCAAACTTAGGGGCTTAAATAATGAATATTTATTATCTTGCTGTGTGACTTAGTCACTTTCTCAATGCTTGAACACAATCTCTGCTACCCACAACTTAAAAGAGAGATTTACTTTGGCTCACAACTATAGTTCCTTGTTGTTTGGCTTCATGGCAGAAATAACATGGCCAAGCTTCATAGCAGAGGAAAAGCTTCTTAAGTCATAGTTGTTAGGAAGCAGAGAAAGAAAAGAGGAGCTGGGAGGGGAGACATACCCTTCTAGGCCACACCCCGTCCATCCTGCTTCCCCTAACCAAGCACCACCTCCTCATAGCAAGTCAGTTATATGGTCCAATTCTCTTTAGAAAGCACCGCCTATAAGAACATTAGGCCTCCAAGGGAAACTCCTCCCCTGGCTCCCAAAAGACTCATTTTCATCTTTGTACAAAATGTTTTCAATCCGTATCTAAGACTTCACCAAAGTCTTAAAGAGCTTCAGCAGTTCTGAAAAGTCAAAATCCAATTTCTTCTGAGACTCAAGGAATACTCTAAGCTGGGAGGCCTGTGAAAAAATCAAAAATAATGTTACTACATTGCCAACATACACTGGCACAGGATAAACATCCCCACTCCAAAAGGAAGGAAGGTATAGTGGGATAGAAACCAATGGGACTAAATCAAGACCAAAACCCAGCAGAGAAAACACTAAATACTGTAGTTCCATATCCTACCTGGGCAGCATCTGGGGCAAGATGTGAACACCAAAGGGTTTAGGTGGCTCCACCCCTACACCGTTTTCTGTTGTAGCCCTCATAATTTCTTTCTTAAGGTGGTTTTGCTAACTGCCTGCAGCTTTCCTCAAACATTCCACATTCTGGGCAGTACCAGTCAGTATTTACTAGAGAAACAGATATAGCACAAGATATACAAATATATATATGAATTTACAAGATTAGCTTACAATGGCCATCCACAGAGTTGGATGAGGAAGAGTGCAGAGAGCCTGTCTGCACACTGGAGACCCAAGGATTCAGTCTAAGGTCTGCAGCTCACTGTAGTGTCCCGTGCAAGTCTGGATCAGGAGATCAGTGGGTCTGGAATGGAAGGCTAGAAAGTCTACACCGGAAGGCTGAAGGATCCATGCTGGAAGCTGAAGAGTCTGCACTGAAAGCCAAAAGATAATGTTCAAGGTGAAGGTGAAGACTGGAGCTCCCCTGAAGGAACAGAAGCAGTAGTGTCCTTCCTCATTTCCCCTTTATATTATCCAGGCGATGACCCGACCTAAGGTGGGTCCTCCCTGGGGTGTGGAATTGTTGAGTTGATTTAGCTAAGCTTCTCTTAACTAAATTACTCAAGTTGACACAATCACTAAAACATCACATGAGTTCCAAATTCCTGGGGTCTCCACTGCACTTTCAACTTCACTCTAACAGTTCAAAGCACTGCTCTTTTGATGGCACAGTGTCTGGCCTCTCAGATGTTCCTCAGAAATTTGAGTGGAAGCCTCCCTGACACCATAGGTCTTATATTCTGCATGCCTGTAAAACCAGCACCACATGGATGACACCAAGGTCTGCCACTAGCACAATAGCTGGATTCCTTTGGATCATGCTGCAGTAGCCTCTAAGTGCCTGAACAGCTGAGCACTATGAAAGAAATCTCAGCAACACAGCTCTGTAGCCAGCCCTTTTTGAACAGGTGGCCTGGGGCTCTGTTCTTAATGCAGTCTTTCATTTTTTGGAACCTTGAGACTTCAAACGGTGAGGTCATTTAGATTCCCAAGATGCCCTCAAGGCATCCTTCTTATTTTCCTGATCAAAGTCTTCTCATATTTTTAATGCTAATCTTTTAGCAACTAAGCTCTCCTCTGCTCCAACTTCACAGGTGGTTTCTGGCAAAACTGAAAAACTATCTAAAGAGCTTTTTGGTCCTGATTTTCAAAATGAATCTGGCTAGTATCTGTCATTAGTACCCATCCCACAACCTGAACATTGGGCTCCTTTGAAATTTCCTTTGTCAGATCTGCTGCCCTTAATCTTAGTCTCCCACAAAGTTTTAGAACATTAGCAAAATGTAGACAATGTTTTCCCAAAGCATAACACATGTGGCTTGGAGTTCAACTGCCAGTGGCATTCTTTTTTGCATCTGAACCTCCTGGCCTGGTCTTTAACATCTGTAATTTTATCAGCATTCTGGTCCTTTGAGTTCTGACTAGAATCTCCCATAAAACCCTGCTCACAGCATTCTAGGGCTTCTCTAGCTAGCATCTCCAAACCAATCCTAATTCTTCCCTCCAGCCACTTTCAAAGGCTTCTAAACCATGGGTGAGATTATCACAGCAATGATCCCAATCCTGGTACCAAAATCTGACTTCATCACTTTCTCATTACCAAGACACAACAACCAGCATCCACAATTTAAAGGAGTTTATTTTTTCACTCATGGCTATAATCCATGGTAAACTATCTCAAAGGAAGCAGAAAGAAAAGAGAAGGACTGGGAAAGAAGATATACCCTTCCAGGTCATGCCCCCAGTGACTGGCCTCCCATGACTGGGCCCTACTTTCTAACAGCCAGTCATCTATAGCTCCCTCTTGATCCAATTTTCTTCCAAAAGCTCCACCTATGAACATATGAAACCTTTGGGGGATATTCGCAATATTAATCATCACACTATGTATGTGGTCAAATGTTTAAGAGCAGCCTCATTGGGCAATTCCAGTTCAGAGACTCTCCTGAGTTTTCAGGAAGTTCACCTAGACCTAAAATGATCTGATTGCTTGAAGAGGACAAGAAAATTCACTTCCAAGATAATTCATGCAAATGTTGCTGGAAAAAGTATCATTTATTTTCTGGCCACAGGTGTGAGGCCTCAGCTCCTTCTCATGTGGACTCCTCTATAAGACTGCCTGAGTATCCAACATGGTGGCTGGCTTCCCCACTTCAGGACACTTCAGGAAAGCAAGGTATAAGCCACAGTTCCTTCATGTCCTCATTTCAGAAGCAACATGCCACTGCCTCTGTTGTCCTCTATTGGCCACACAAACTAATTCTAGTTCAATGTTGGAGACTACACAAGAGCATGAGCACAAAAAGTAGGAGATCATTGGAGATTATCTTGGAACCTGACCACTATAGTCAAAGAAATACATGGAAAATGTTGACATAGAGACACTTGGTTGGTTAAATAGGGACTATGAGAAAAATCTCTGTTGCCAAGCTGAGAATCTGGCTCCATATAGTCACCTGCATCAGATCTATTGATTACTAGTAAGGTAGCATCAAGTTCCAGCTTAGAGGAAACCAGAAGATGCAAAGCTTTCCAAACTCATTAGTGAAATGGAAAGGGAACCAATACTCCCAAAATCATTCTTGGAAGCTAATATTACCCTGATGCCAAAACCAGAGAAGGACCCAACCAAAAAGGAGAACTACAGGCCAATCTCCTAATGAACACAGACACAAAAATCCTCAGTAAGTTACTGGCAAATATAATGCAGCAAATCATCAAGATGGTTATACACTATGACCAAGTAAGTTTCATCCTAGGGAGGCAGGGATGATTTGACATACACAAATCAATAAATGTAATGCACCATGTCAACAGAGCCAAAGACAAAAATCACATGATCATGTCAATAGATGCAGAAAAAGCATTTGACAAAGTCCAACACCCATTCACGATAAAAACCCTACAGAAAATTGGACCAGGTGGTCTTTATCTCAATCTGATAGAAGCAATCTATGACAAACCAACAGCCAACATAATACTAAATGGTTGAAAACAGAAAGCTTTCTCTCTAAAGTCAGGAACAAGACAAGAATGTCCACCATCACCACTCCTATTCAATATAGTTCTGGAAATATTAGCCAGAGCAATTAGACAAGAGAAACAAATAAAAGGAATAAAGATAGGAAAGGAAGGAGTTAAATTATCGTTATTTGCAGATGACATGATACTCTACATAGAAGACCCCAAAAACTCTACCAAAAGACTTCTCCCCAAAAGAATTAATAACCAAATTCAATAGCTGGATACAAATTCAACACTCAAAAATCAGTATTATTCCTGTACACAAAAAAAGTACTCACTGAGAGAGAAATAAGGTAAACAACACCTTTCACAGTAGCACTGAAAAAAGTGAAATACTTAGGAATCAGTCTAACAAAGGAAGTAAAAGATCTTTATATTGAAAATTACAGTACTCTGAAAAAGGAGATTGAAAAGGATATCAGAAAATGGAAAGATATCCCTTATTCTTGGGTAGGAAGAACCAACATGGTGAAAATGGCCATACTCCCAAAATTGTTACATATATTTAATGCAATTCCAATCAAAATACCATTAGATACCTTACAGAACTAGAGAAAACATTCCTAAAATTCATTTGGAATTAAAAGAGACCTAGAATAGCAAAAACAATTCTGGGCAACAAGGACTGGGCAGGATCATCACCATTCCTGACTTGAAATTATACTACAGAACAATTGTGGTAAAAACAGAATGGTACTGGAAAAAAAAAAAAAGCAGACCTGAGGATCAGTGGAACAGATTAGCAGATGCAGACACAACCCCAAACATACTCAGACACTTTATCTTTGACAAAGGGGCCGAATACATTCACTGGAAGAAAGATATCCTCTTTAATAAGTGGTACTGGAAACACTGGCTTTTGAATGCCAGACTGAAACTGGACCCTTATCTCTTACCATGCATTAAAATAAAATCAAAATGTTTCAAAGACCTAAATATTAAAACAGAAATACTAAATCTACTTGAAGAGAGAATAGGTAGAACTTTTTAAAATTAATTTTATTGGTACAATTTAAAGGTACACAATGATCACATTCATCAAAGGGAATTAGTACCTGCACATGGTATTTCTTGATTCTTCTTTTTCTGCCAATCCCCTCCCTTCCTCTAAACCTCCCTCCCATTCTTATTTACAAAAGCTTTGTTTCCATTTTTAAATTTTCCTTTCCCTTTCCCTTCTTCCCCTCCCCATTCAGTTTCCCTTTCCTTTCGAACAATTTCTTCCTATTTCACAATATCTATTATACATTTCAGTCCTTATTTACCCTTTCAATTTCTCACACCAGAAAGGCAATGCGATATTTACATATGTGTCCAATTTATTTCACTTAAGAGTATAAGACTTTTGAAGACATAGGTGTAGGCAAAGACTTCATGAACAAAATCTCAATTGCACAGGAAATACTTCAAAGAACCAACAGCTGGGATCTCATTTTATTAAAAAGCTTTTGCACAGCAAAGGAAATCACCAACAGAGTAAAAAGAGAACCTACAGAATGGGAAAAAATTTTAGCCAGTTGTTCCTCAGAAAAGGACTCATATCTAGAACATATAGAGAATTGAAAAAGAAATAAGACCCCCCAAGCGTAAGGACACAATCCAAAAATGGGCATCCAAAATGAATATACACTTCTCAGATGAAGTACAAACAGCAAATAAATATATGAAAAAAATGTTCAACATCACTGGTCATTTGAGAGATGCAAATTAAAACAACATTGAGATTTCATCTCACTCAAGAAAGCATAGCTATTATCAAGAAATCAACCAACAAATGCTGGTGGGGTTGTGGGGGAAAAGGAACCTTTCTCCACTTGGTGAGAGTGTAAAATGGTACAAGCACTGTGAAAATCAGTATGGAGATTCCTCAAAAAACTAGGATTAGAGGTCCTATTTGACCCAGCTATTCCCCTTCTTGGCATCTTCCTGAAAGAACTAAAACCATCAAACCACAGCCATATATGTGCATACATGTTTATAGCACCACAGTTTGTAATAGCTACATCTTGGGAACAACTCAAATGCCCATCAACCAATGAATGGATAAAGAAGATGTGGGGTTTTTTTTACAATGAAGTACTACTCAGCCATAAAGAAAGATAAACTTGAGACATTTCTAGATAAATAGATGCAACTAGAGACTATCCTCTTAAGTGAAATAAATCAGACACATATGTGTAAATATCACACTCTCTGGTGTGAAAAACTGAAAGTATATACAGGGACCAAAATGTATACTCGATATTGTGAAATAGGAAGAAATTGTTGAAAAGAAAAAGGGAACCAGGGAAGAGGGTGGGGAAAGGAAGAACGAGAAAAGAAAAAAATGAGAAAAGAAGGATGAAATGGA